AAATCGCCAAGATTGTTCAAAGCAAACAGTACCTCACGGACGTGCTTTCACAATTTCCAACTTAAGACGCTGTTGCGCGTTCCCAGACAATAGTTGTTCTTGCCCCTATTACCGCAAGGTTGAGACATAGTGCTATTGGCTCATGGCAAGAAAGTCCTGGACACTCCTGCAACAGGTTGTCTCGCGCTGATCACCTGGACATTAGAGAAAACAAAATTCCTCAATCGGAGCTAGTACGGTCATGTATCCATCAAATCAAAACAACATGTGTAAAAGAATACCATTTTGGAATTGAAGCTGAAGGTACCAAGATAGACACCACGAAGAAGGGAAAAGGGAGAGATTGAACTGGAATCCGAATGAGAGAGGATCGATCGGAAAGGATGATTTGGGGGTTTTAGGTTTTTCTGATTTGGTTTTGTTGTTTGTATTGTAACATGATCTAGTACGACACACCACATACACCTCACCGTGCCCACACGCTTATCACCAGCCTAATTCCTCTTAACAAGTCGCTAACTCCCCCATTATCTTTTAATTAATCCACTTAAAACTAATCAACCTTCTAATCTGCACCAAATCACCCTTTAAAAAATTAACTTTTGCTTTTGTTTTATTTATTAATTAATCTTTTTCAATTAGATCTTTTCTCTAATCACTTTTAAAAATAAACTAATGAACTTTTTTTAGATAAATAATGTGTTTTTAAAAAATTAAACTCGTTAACAAATAATAATAAAAAAAAAATTTATATAAAATCAACTTCCAGCTTTTATTATAATTAAGAGTTTTTATATAAACATTTATAATATAGAAACATTTCATGGTTAATAATAACATTTTTAAATAAAAAAAAACTCACTCCATGATAATCAATTCAATTTATTTTATTTATCAATAAAAATTACCTTTTATAATAACGTAAACGAAGTAAAACAATTTTTAACAAGAAATAATTTAAATAATTTATACTCACTTATTAAACTAAATTCTGATAATTCAAGAAAACCTTTCAACTAGCAACTTTTCTAAAATCAATCTCAACCTTTTATTAACTAATTCAACTTTTCTCAAAAACAATTCAACCCACCCTTAAAGTCAACTTCACTTATAATTTGTAATCTAAAATAATATTTTCTTATAAATCAATTTAACTAAAATTAATCAACATCGTAAAACTCAACCCAAACGTGCACACTCACATCCACAATACACTCACCTACACCTTAGCGCTTTCATGCGTGTGTATGATTTACTTTCCGCGATTCATCTTCCGCAAATTTACATTATCACAATCTACATTTCTGCATCGCATTCCGTCCAAAGGAAAAACCTACACATGAGTCAACACTTGTGTGTAGTGCATCTCATTTACATCATTATCCCCCCCGATCCTTGATCCCATTCAAGTTGATCTCTAGGATAAATCCTACCCCATAGGAAGGACTATTATCTTTACAACATAGGAAAACAAACAACTCAATACAACAATATTCAAACACAATAGAGAATAGATGTTAATCATCTTAAGCGAGATATAACTTCTCATTCCCCATAACACAAATACAATCAATATCTTCTTTCGCTCAAGAGAGATAGAGGCGTACTTGTCGACCCTTCCAAGTACTTGAGTCCTTCTCTTGAGACGACACAAATACAATTTTTCTACACACTTGTGGCGGCTAAAACGGTTAAATCTCTCTTAAAATGATAACACATCTCTTCTCCTAAAATCAATCAATCAACTACCTTAAACCCGTAGGAACTTTGACCACATTCAAAGAACTTCTCAAACCCTTTAGGGGAACTACAGATACTTTGATTCCACTCCCGTAAGGATATGTAGGCATAAGATGCGACATCTTATCGAGTATACTTAGAAATAAACCCCTAGGTCTTTCAACTCTTAAGCAGATAAACACTTAGCAATAAACGAACATAAAACAAGAGGTTCCTGTAGAGTACTACAGAAACTTAGGATGCTAGTACCTTCCCTAAGTTTAACCAACTCCCGAACCTATAACTCTCTTAACTTGCATTTGCATTGCATTGTGGGTATTTCGATCTTTATCCCTTCCTTTGGACAAGTCAAAGTTCGGTTGCAAAATGAATTAAAGATTCAAACTAATCAATAGTTTGGTATCCGATTTTCACCGCGACAGGAGTGGTAATTTCTTGATCCACCATTGTTGTTCTTGATACATCTTCCACAATGTGATCTATTGTTGATTCTTATTTCTTGATCTTTGGATCTTGCAAATTGTATTCTATTGGTGTTGATTGCTATTATTTTACTTGAATTTTCATGCTGAATTGCATCCTTGATCATGAGGTGTTCGAAGAAATGATTGATCAAGTTTCTGCACTTTTTAAAGCTAATTTGTTGTTGTTTTAGCAGTGGTAATCGATTACCTTCTGGTGGTAATGATTATCCATTGTCCATTTTGAGTTTTTAGCTCTGTTTTGGGACTGTTTTGGTTCTTTCTTCTTCTTCTTTTATTTCCTTTTGATTTTTGCCTTGGAATGCACTTTTAAAGGTCTTTTTCCTCTTTAAATTCATTAGACTTAGGGTGTATATGAAGTTGGATAAACATTCACTAATTTAAATCTATCTTTAAAGTGAATTGTTCAATTCATTTTAGGTGTTTTGAGTTAATGATATGTTTAGTGTTTTAATCCACCAAGATGAGTGGATGAACTTAAAGACGGAATGACCTTGAACTTGTAATCCAATTTGGAATTCCCTTTCGTCTTCTATTTTTTTTTATCGATGAAAATCTTCGATATCGTTTGAACTTATTTCAAGTTATTTATGAAGATGAGATCTTTACCTATTTTTTTTTTTGTGCGGTATTGCTTTCGCAGAGTGATCTACTCTAGCATGCATTAGCACTAACGTTGTTATTGACCGGCCTCAAATAGTCGTGGTTTCTACATAAACTCAATTACAATTGCTTAACATAGCGCTAAATTGTCCCGTAATCGAAAAGTGATCATTCGTGGCTCAAACTTATGTTTGAAAGTCCAAGTATGGTTGATTATTTGTCTTAGGTCCATCACCTATGAAACTTGTTGTTATGAGGCTTTGATTTTATCAATCCTCTTATAAGTTTTCATTAACTTTGGCTTAAGTGCATGAGTTAATCATCGTTGATCATTTGCTCTAACAATTAATCACTAACTCACTAACGATATCATTGTACTAATTTTGTTTATGTTTTCTTCTTGCTCCTTATCTCTCTTTTATCTTTATGCTCCATTATTATCATCTCATATCATATTATTCTTTATCCTTCCGTTATTTTTCCTTTGTCCGTTTGACACATGTTTATGTTTCTAGCTTTTTCTTTTGTCCATTTGAACCATATCTTGTTCAAAACACTAATAAAGGATTAAACCTCTAAACAACTTGGTGCTCTTAACTTTGTGGTTATGCTCTTAGACTATTCTTAGACCTTGGAGCTCTTGAACTGTTCTTAGACCCTTGAACTTAGAATTAGGTCTCTTTCCCTATACTTGGAGTATTGGGGATCTTTGCCTTTATTTGGCTTGCTCATTTGCTTATGCTTCAAGATGGATGGAATTCTTAGTTGGCTTGCTATGGAGTGTGCTACAAGTTGGTTAGATCCTTCTTATCTCTAACTTTTATTTTGTTTTTTAGGTTAGTCACTTCATCTTCTCCCCTTTTTAAATTTTCAAAATCTCCTCCTTTTTTCAAAAAACTTTCTTACTTTCAAACTTAAAACAACTTTTATAATAAAACTTTGACTTTTGTCAAATGATTTTCAAAATTTGTTTTCTTTAATAAATGTCAATCAATGTTAATCATATTTTAACAAATTTCAAAAAGACTTTAAAAAAGATCAACCTCATTCAAACTTTTTGTGCATTTGCGCACTTTTTATTTTAAAAACTTTTCATAAAGTTTAGATATGAGTCATTTCCATAGTTGAGATATAATTCTCCTATTCTCCATAATATTAAGATGTTGACATTTTCCACTTAATTGTTGAGTGATAGACTTGTTGATTTTAATCCAAGCAAAATCCTTCATCTTTAGGTGATGCAAATGTTGTCTTATACTTGTGGGCGACAAGTCGTAGTTTTCTCCTTAAAATGACGACTTGTCTTTACATTTAAAATCAATCAAAACCAACAAATTTTTGTTATTTGTACCACGAACTACGGCGTTTTTATCCTATATTGCACTTTGTGGGTACATAGACATAAGGCAATAAGTCTCTCCAAACACAAATCTTAAAAATAATTCTCTTTTCATCTCCCCAATCTCTTTTCAAACAAACATTTTTTTTCAAACCAATAAGCATAGATATTTCAAAAGGCTTCTATAGAGTACTATAGACGTTTTAGGTGCTAATATCTTCTCATTGCGTAACCAACCCCCTTACCCAGATCTCTATTTATTTGTTCTTGTTTTATAACTCTTAAGTTTTGTTCGTTCTTTTTCCTTTTCTTTTTTAGATAAAATAAAAGTGCAGTGACAACTCTTACATTTTTTAGTTAAGTTAATCAATTGTTTACACTCACGAATTTCTCCGCTACATATATCCTGCCACATCAAACTGTAATTTTTAAGTTAACGGTATGATATGAAAGATTTATAAATTCCTATTAGATGACACTGTAAAATTATTTTACACTCTGAGTGCATATTAATTAAACTCTTTATTTTATATACTAACTTTTAATTTTAGAGTTTAGTTGATATGCACTAACAGTATAAAATAATTTTACACTGTCATCCAATAAGAATTTATTAATCTGCCCTGTCATACAGTTAACTTAAAAATTACAGTCTGATGGGGCGGAATACACGAAAATGATTGGTCGACAGTATAAAATAATTTTACACTATCAGTGCATACCAATTAAATTCTTAATTTTAACTTCTAGATTACATTTCGTACTGATTCTTGTATTTTTTATGTATGTACATAGAACTTTCACTCTCCATACTTTTATGTATGTACATATAACTTTCACTCTCCATTGTTCAAAGTTAGGCTTCCAAGAGATGCCTCGGTTGCGAAATGAGATTTCAATCCAATCCAACATTGGTAATAATCATGATCCAAGAATGGAGATTCGAGAGCCGATCGGCTAATACGGGGAATCAAACTCGACTCAAACATAAAAGCCATTGTGTCGGTGATCTTGTGAGGACCAACATCGTTCCCACGCGCAATGGTGGCCTGTACAGCAGATAACAATTTCGAACATTGAACTCAAGGTTTTTTCACATGTGAGAATGAAAAACAGAACCTACAAGAAAGATCTCAATGCCTTCAATTGATGGTTCAGAAAAGCCATACCTCATATGACTTGGTATCAGGACCATGAGGCGTCATACAGTTATGAAGACTTGCACCACCGGGACGAAACCCATCAACCTTTGCCTGTAAAAACAAATATGTATACGCAAAATTTGCACTATTCAGGATCTGAAATGAAAACATTCTAGTTCTAGGAACTAATTTTACTGATTAAACTACACAGACAATGAATGCTTTAAAAAAGCATTGTTTAGAAGTCAAATTTGAATATAATGTACCTCATAGTTACCATGAATGAGACCCATAAATTCACTCATGCAATTGCGATGATAATATGGTGGACGGAAGGTATGCTCAGCAACAAGCCACCTTGGTGGAAAAATGACAAAATCAAGCAATGCCAGGCCGGGTTTATCAGTTGGTGCTGTCAACACTGTATAAAACAGCTATTACAAACAAACAAACAAAAGAATTTCTAGAAGAAAAGGTTAAGAAAGGGGGTTAAAGGAAAATCATTTTAAAATTTGCTTACCGGTATTAATTGATGGATCACCATGATCATACAGCACTGTATTATAAGGGCAAAATTTGCTTAGGTCATACTGCAAATGAAAAGAAGATTCTCGTCAATGAACCAGTGCTTGATTTGGAGAGGATGTGAGAGAGCTTCAACAAAGATTTCTGATGGCAAATTTTAGCAACTGACGAAGCCATAGTCATTATATTTAAACAATACAGCACTCACCTTATATGGAACATAATTACCATGCCAAGCAACAACATTGAAGGGAGAGAAATCTTGTACTGCAGTAAATAGTTCACCGCCAAACTTCTGCACTATAGTGTATCCAGGATATGATTTATCTTCAAACCATGCTGTAGGAACAAGGAAGTCCCTTGGGGAAGCAAGACCATTAGCACCTAAAATATAACCAAAATTCACTTTTAATTATACATATCATGCATTATTAAGCAACTAATATGCTTAAATTTATCAGCTTCAGAGAAGAATAGGTACCTATTAGTCCAAGATCAGGAAGTTGAAAATGAGTGCCGAAAATTTCAGCTACATAGCCACGGGAGGGACCATCAGGCAGATTCACATTGAAACGAAAACCTTGAGGTATTATAGCAATATCACCAGGGGAAACTTTCAACCTTCCACATTCAGTAGTGATAAAGAGTCCTGCAAATTCAGAAAAAGGTAATTCATATAAAGGAAGCACTATGTGTTCATTAAGTGTAGATCAACAGGGAAATTAATACATAAGAACAGAAGCACAGTGCAATTATCCCAAACCCCAAACACAACTTTCTCAAAATCAATGAGCAAGCAATTGTGTTTACTTACTTCCTTGTTGGGGAACTATCAAGAAATCGCCATCAGCATTGCAAAAGGCACAATTGTCCATTGATTTGTTAGCAGTGTACCTATAAATGATGCATCATTTCCCCATTTATTGAAGTTGCTAATATTACTTTCAAAATTCATATTTATCATACTGAACATTAGTAGTGTCTTGCTTAGACTAGGGAACAGAAATTGGATAATTGATGAAAGCAGAAATTTATGGTAGCATTACTTGTAGAACAAATAAAGAAAAAAGTGTATCATGTCAATAAGTTGTTTAGTCAGGTATACAAATAAACAACTTAATCAATTACTTGACTATTCTAAAGTTTAGCCCAAAAATGGGATTCCATAAACCTTTAAACTAGAGGCACAACATTACTGTGCACGAGTCTTTTAACTCTCTGCATTCATTACCTCGTCTTTGGTGTTAGGAAACCAAAAGTGTCAAAGACAATGGTATGAAAGCATGTTGATTGTCGGAACATACTTTCTCGTATTTGACCATTTTACTTGAAGCGACTTTGAGGGCTGCCTATCCCATAGTAAAACCTCCAGTCCTCAATCCCACCAGTGAGAAAACCCCAGTCAAGTCCACGCATGCATGTTTCCCTCCTACCCACCCGTACACTAGAACATCTACTCACTTAAATGTCGATCTCCCCTCATGTGGATCCGTCAAAAAATTCACAAGCACTTCTTTCTTCACAAATACTCCGGTCCTCCGAAATATATCAAATAGGACACCACAAGCAAAGTCATGTCGATACTTGAAGCATGGAAACTCCTTACAATGAATCACGTGTTCACCAAATGTATTCAAGTACGTCTTGCGACAAACAAGGCAAACCCCATCAATAGAAAATAAGGGAATCATAAGGCAGAAACTAAGAATAGTACGGTACTCTACTGATGACACGTGTTGGCCTAGCCCATAAATAGAAATAGCAAGGAGATAATCTTGAGCATGTGCTGCTTGCAAATATCCAAAATCTGTTTTCTGTCTTGTGGTTCTATCAAACTTTATGTCCATGTACTGAACATTTTTACTAAAAAGGACACTAACCTAAACATGTTGTGATTTAGGAGGGACAATATCCTTACTAGTAAAACTGCTTAGGTCAAAATCTAAAATCGCATAAGACCATCCAAAGCTATGTTGAAATATAGAGTTCATACCATATATCTCACTGTCTCTCAATATATGATCCTATGATACCTGAGATTGGGCCTTAGATGCCACAAAAAGCGTATGGGGCAGCCTCTGTTGCGGAGTACAAATCCAATCCCCAAACTCTAATGGGTAAGGCTATGTTTGGATATCGCAGCAGAATGGAAAGGAGACCAAATCCTTAAGAGAACTTGCTACTGCTAGCAGTGTCCTATCAAGGAAGAGGGGACAAAATCTCTTCTTGATTCAATCCCTAAGAACAGGGAGCTAAATCTTTATTTTATGTTTGATATAAAAATAGTAACTTAAACATAAACACTTATATGATAAGCTCTAATGCTATAAGAGCTTGATTAAGTTATTCATTGTAAAATCTATCAAGAAAAAAAGTAGACAAAAAAAGTCAACGTAGAAAGAGAGAAGAATCGAGTTTGAGGGAAAAAGATTAATTAATGAAAGATAAACAAGAAGGTAATTAGTTACATGTGAATAGCATATCCATGGCGCATGAATGAGCTGCCAGAACCACAAACGGTGGACAACCCATCAATGAAATCCGTGGGTAAATCAGGTATATCAGGCGGTTTCCATCGAAGCTGAGTTGGATTTGTAGAACTGTTAGAGTCATTGAACTCACTCAAAATTTTCCGATTAAACGGAACCCGAGGCTTGAATGGTTCATGAGTCACCGATGGTTTAATCCGATAAAGCCAACTAGTTCCACCGCAAACACACAAAAGGAAAAAAAAATCAATAACATGTGTAGCTCAAAAAAGAAAGTAAAAAATGTTGTGAAAGATGGAATTAACCTGAAGAAGTTGTGGGAGCGAGGGGTGGTAAAGGAGGTGCCGGATATTTGTTCGGCGTAGAGGCCGAACGGGCATATGAGGGGGCTGTTTTGTTGAAGCGGGAGAGCTCCGGCGATGGCCTCCGAGGAGAAGTGGTTGCCGAAGCCGGATTGGTAGTTGAAGTCGTCGCTGGAGATCGAGTTCTCCATGTGAGAGAAGGTGAGAAGGAGTAAGTCAAGACAAGTTCAAGTTTGGATTAAGGATGCTGACGGTGTCTGAAAGTAATGTTTGTTTTGTCGGAAAAGATTGTTGCGTAATTCAAATACTCACTCAACTTCAACATGAACTCTGTATTTGGATATTTTAATACAAACATGGAACGGAATGGAGCAAAAAGTTTCAACGCTATTTTTAATATTATCTTCATATCATGGCATTGATAATATGGATAATAATATGCTTAATTCATCTTTTACCCGTAAATTAATTTATTATTTTCAATTAATTTCATAATTAAAAAACGTTATAATGTATTTCTTTAAATCTATTTCGTTAGCATAATCAATATTTTCTATTAAATTTTTGGGAAAACGTTAAGAGGCGCATATGTGACATAGTGAGATATCGATGTAGCATTGTGTTTTTTTGTCAATTACTATAATACTAATGTGTCATAGTGACTTTTATTTTCATTTTTGGTTACAAAAATCCTCAACTTTTAATCTTCTCTCTTAGTTTCATATTTTCACTCACATTGCCAAAAACTTTCTAGCAATTATGAAAAAGAAGAGCTCGGTGGTTGAAGACGAAGATTCTTGAAACATAGCAGAAGAGGATACCTAGCAACTCAATCATTGTCTCATTTCAAGGACAGGGTACGTGTATGGACTTACTATTTTAAAAAGCAAATATTTAACAATTTCGTCTACTTCAACGTCTGATTTCTGAGTTATTTGGTGTTATTAGGTCATGAGTGATAGGTTTGAGTGTGTTATCCATCATGGGGGTGTGTTTGGTGAGTTTAACATATTAGGTTACAAGGGGTTAGAGGAGATTTGGCAAGTTGACCCGGATTTTTGGAGTTATTTTGAGATCCTAGGTGGGTTGAAAGATTTAGGGTACCCAAAAGTTGAGAGCTTGTGGCATTATGATGCAATTGATGATAATGAACTAGTGATGTTGCAAGATGACGTTGGAATAAATAGAACGAAGACGATTGCACTTATCAATGGGAATGTTCATCGATATGTAATGCATCCAGTGTATAGGGAAGAGCAAATATTGCCTCTTGAAAATAATGTAGGTCCTAATGGCGAAAATAATGTAGGTCTTAATGGTGTGGAAGACGACAGTTTGGAAGATGGCATGTTGGATGAATTGAATAATGGTGTAAAAGAAACTTTTAATGACTTATGGACCATTGAAGAATTGAATAATCTAGGTGACAAGTTTGATGAAGGAGGGCCCACAAGTTTAGAAGATTCAGCTGCAGTTGACCAAGAAGGTTCATTTGAAGCTGTTAATGTGGAAAGGACCGCTGAGGGCAGTAACCAAAAAGAGTCATGTCAGGATGTTAACTTTGAGGGGGACAATTTGTATGAAGATGCAATAATGGATATTACTTTAGATAGGACCACTAATCATATTGTATGTGACCAAGAAGATGATATTTTGGATGGCACCTCTTATTTGGTAAGTGTTAAAACTGATTCAGTAGCTGAGGGACTTATTTGTAACCAAGATGATCATCAGGGAGTAGAATGTAACAAAGAAGATGAAGAGTTGAGATGTAACCAAAAATATATTGGCGATAGTGAAGATGATAGTGTTTTGAATGTAAAACATGTTGGTGAGGATTCAACTGGAATTGCTGAAGAAATAGTTGTTGATAAAGATGAAGGACAAAGTAAAAGGTAAAGGAAATGGGAAGGGAAAGGGTAACATAAATGGGAAGGGGAAGGGGAAGGGGAAATCCAAGCCTGGCAAACCAAAGAAACAAAGGGTGGTGGAAGAAGCAGTTGAGGGTAATGGTGTATTTGATAATGTGAATGAATGTAAGGTTACAGAGGAAAACTTTAGGGGTTTGAGTGACATTGAGGAGTATGACAGTGATGAGTTACCACATGAATATGATAGTGAGGATGATGAGATTTTAAAAGATGGTTTCCCAACTTTCAAGCTTCCAAAAAGAATGAATGATTACAAGTGGGAATTAGGAACTTATTTTACTACTAGGAAAGACTTTAAAGAGGCAGTTAGAACTTATGATATTCATTCAGGTAAAAACCTAAAATTTAAGAAAAATGATAACAAGAGGATGAAAGTCATATGTAAGAGAGGTTGTCCATAGGAGTCATACTATGCAAAATTACAAGATGATAATACTTGGCAGTTGAGAAAAATTCTGGACAAGCACACATGCAGTAGGGATTATAAGGCCAGGTTCCTAAATTCTAAATAGTTGGGCAAAAAAATTCAAAGTAATGTAAGAGAGAATCCTAATTTGAAGTTGACTGATATAATGGAGGAAAAAAAAAAGTGGAATGTATGGATCAATAAGACACTTGCATACAGAGCTAAGTCACTTGTTATTGACATTGTTGATGGTTCATTATGGCCATGAGCTGTTAAGGGCAAACCCTGGTTCAAATGTGAAGATTACAAGTCAACCAAGTCCAGGTGGAGAGGAAAGTAGTGATAATCATGAGAGGTCTTTGAATCCATATTTCCAAAGGATTTATATATACCTCAAAGCTTGTAAAGAGAGTTTCTTTAAGTGCAGGGCTATCATAGGATTGGATGAGTGCTTTTTGAAAGGCTATTATGGTGGAAAATTTCTTGCATCCATAGGGAGGGATCCTAATGACCAGATGTTGCCAATAACAATTTTTGTAGTTGAGGGAGAAACCAAAGATTCATGGAGTTGGTTTTTAGATCTATTGACAAATGATTTGGGAGGTTTCAGATTATGCAAGACATACCTTTATAAGTGATCAACAAAATGCGTGTATTGATATCTTTATAATTGTTTTGTTTTTTGTTAGATTATGCAAGACATTTAAATTTGAATTGGTTTGTATAAAATACAGGGGTTGTTGTCTGCACTTGATGAGTTGCCACCACAAGTTGACCAAAGGTTTTATGTTAGGTAAACATTATTGTTAAGTTGACCAAAGATTTGATATGTTTTATTCTTGTTACTAATATGAATGTTTGACATTCAATTTCAGGAAGAAGTTTCCTAGTGTCAAATTAAAGGAATTGATGTGCAAGGCTGCTAATGCAAGTCATTCAAATAACAAGGCTACCATGCTGTCATGCTATTTCATGTATGAAGGATCAGCATTTACAAGTGGATGATTATGTGCCTGATTATTACAAAAAGGAGTCTTATGAGGCTTGCTATGCACCAATAATTTATCTAGTTAATGGAGAATCTCTTTGGACCAAAACAGATGTTGTTGATCTGCAACCACCCCCCATAAAAAGGATGCTTGGTAGACCCAAGAAGAAAAGAAATAAGGAGGCTATAGAACAAGTCAGAAATGAGACACAACTCAAAAGGGGAAATTGTGGTATCAAATGTAGTAAGTGCCATAAGGATGGTCACAATAAGGCCACTTGCAAGTTGCCTACAACTGCTATGACTTCAAGCTAACCACAACCATCTGCTAGCTCAGTCCAACCATAATCAAATGCTACATTAGTCCAACCATAAATAGAGGCTAGCTTAGTCCAACTACTAGCTCAGGCCAACCACAACCATCTGCTACGTCAATCCAACCACAACCAGCTGCTACCTCAAGCCAACCAACACCAGATGGAGCTTCAACCCAACAACTGCCCAAAAAGAAAAGGAAGCTTCAAAAGGGTCTAAAACCAGTCCTGAGCCAATCATTATCTTTATGTTGATCTTTGATGTGTACTACTTATGTCACTTTTGGCCTATTTTGTAGTTTATGTATTAGGCTTATTATGCCACTTTTTGTGACTTGTAATGTCTAGTAATGACTTGTAACAGATGGCATACAATGCATATTTTCTACTTTATGACTTATGGCTAGTTATGCCACTTTTGTTGTCACTTGTAATGACCTATAATGTATTTTCAGTATGACCTTTAATACAACTTCTGTTAAGGTTCTGTTACTATCACTCATGATCTATAATGTTACTTTTGGTATGACCTTTAGTAAACCTTCTATTAATGTTATGTTACTATTGTTATGACAAAATTATGGTGTGCATTTGTTAAGGTTATGTTACTATTGTTATGACAAAGTTATGGTGTGCATTTGTTCTGGTATATTATGGAAAACATTTGTTCTGGTATATTGTTATGATTATGTTACACCAAATAAAAAGTTAATTTGTTTTGGTATATTATGGGAAACAAAATGTAAGATTTCTTCAAATACTTTTCATTGATAACTATTGAATAATACATAACAATGTTGACAAGCACATTTCCTTGACAGATACATTGCATAACAGATAAATGTTGACAAATACATCTCATTACATAGACAAATAACCAACCTAAAATAACATTGTTACAAATACAACATTAAACACTAGGCTCAATATTCCAATCACTACATTCACTAGTGTTAATGATCTCATTCTTCAATTTGTAAATTTTCTTCTTTTACCTCTGGATCTGTAAATCCCTTTCATCAATAATGTCATTGTCGAACCATTTGAAGAAATTACAACCCTTGCTTACATAATTTCTGAAATTTCTACAACCCCAAAACTTTTTTCCAAAATTGACACTATTCATGTCACCCAAGGTACGAAACACACATTCATCTTGGCAACAACATTCCCTCCTTTTTTTTCTACACATAATCGACCCAGCCGTTCCAATGGAAAAACTGCTTGACACCTTAGACATTGAAGAATATTCAAACCATAGGAATAGATTAGGAAAGAAGAGATTACGAAAGAACGAAGATATTAGGAAACTAGAATGAAGAGATAAAGGGAAGCAACCAGACAACTAGAATGAAGACATTAGGAAAACAACCAAAACAATTCTTGAAAACAAGATCAATAGCAATTTTCTAGAAAACAAGAGGATGAGCGCAAGAACAATTTTCTTCAAAACATTCAATCCTTTAAACCCTTGATTATTCTTTCTTTTGATGATTCACCACACACTTGGCATGCCACTTTAGCAGATACTAACGTTTTAACATCACAACTA